GCAAAACACTAAAGCTCAACACTCAAACTTGTAGAAAAAGTCAAGATGTAAGCTAAGAATTTCATATAATTGTGTGGCTAAAATAGCATACAAATGTGTGTTTCAAAATAGAATTTTTTAACAAAAGAGATATAGCTGGTAATAAATTCTCTTAGGATTGCTTTTAACTTATTAGTGTTTCACTAATCCATATAAGAAGTGGAAAAAGCCAAGATCTTAGATTAACTGTAAATCAACCTTGCTATACTATTTGACTTAAACCAAAAATATTGAGTTTTGATTTAGTTAACATTAAGGTCTAATGTTGGTATTTAAATAGAAACATAAATTTAAAGCAAAGTTCGGATTCTATGAATTTTTCTCATACTCTCTTTTCCATTAAACAGAACGAGTGAAATTTCACTCTACAGAGCAAATATACTCCCTTTCATCCCTTTCAATTCTCAGTTTTTCAAAGGTTTAACTTTGAGACAACCTAAAGCCAGAGATGGGGAAAATACTGCTTTTCCTGATAGGGACGGTAGAATTTTTTTTTTTAGCTTGTGATTTTTATAATTTCTAGAGTCTAGCACTCTGTTTTTGTGAATAAGTTCCACAGTAAGTTTGAGGAAGAAAACAATCATTTTCAACAGTTGACAAAAGTTATTAAGCTTAGCAGAGAGAAACAAGCAATCTGTATTTTCTTTTCTTAAACTGATGCAGCATTTTGAAATGGACTTAGTAGGAAACATGTGCATGGTCTCATTATAACTTTGTGATCATTGCACAAAACAATAAAGCAATGAATATTTTTAATAAGACCAGAAACCTTGATTGCTCTAAGGCATTTTTTTCTGTTGCTATAGTGATTCTGAGAAAACTCTAATGCAACAACTGAAGCAACTTCCTGCCATGGAAGCAATCCAAAATTCAGAACAAAAGCCTCCTACAGACTGGACATGACGTCCTGGATTGTTATCATTCAGCATACATGTCTTAGTAAAATAGCAACCTTTCCTTGTTCTGGTGCCTTCAGCTTCTTGTCTAAGGGGGAGAGATCAGGTAAGTGTATTTGGGGGGAAAGTGTTCAGATCTTTCACTGAAACTTCCAGTTTTACAACAGAGTTAGTGGGCAACTGGTTTTGACATATACTGAAAAGGCATGAGACAATTATATTCTTCATCAACAGATTAATCTTAGAGAGGAATGCAGTGTGCTTCTCTGAATGTCTTCTGATGAAAATTACTGACCTTATTTTCATTGCTTCTCTCTTCTGGACTTTGGGGTTGTGTTCATTATTTATTTTTTTGCTTTTTACTCCTGAGTGTGAGCTTGCCTGCTGCTGAAAGAATGGCTGAGATCGGGGGCACCCGAGTACAACATGGCAAGGAAAGGGTGGGGCAGAGCAAGTTGTTGCCACCTCTCCTAGTTTTCTTGTCTCCCAAACAGCAGTGAGAAAACTAAACCAAGCCTTCCAGGTCTTAGGCACATGTTTGCCTCATGTTAGATCATCTCCTTTTGCTGTTGCAGAAGCAATATAGACCCATTCTACTCAACCCTAGAACAGCTGCCTTCAGTCTCACCTGTGCCACTGAGAAATCTCAAGCCAATTTGGAGGCAATTTAATGAGGACATGGTAATAGTACTGACAGCATGGATGGGCAGTTTTTTATGTTGCTGCTTCTATGATAAACTCAGGACTACTATTTTTATGAGACACATACCCATATTTTGGAGAAAAGAACAGATTTGCTTTTCAAAGAGTTAGGTATTGTCTGAGGAATAATTTCTAGAAGTCTACAGCTACTAAAGAAACCTGCAGACATAATGTCCAGTCATTTTCTGCATTAAAAATCAGGTTTGAAACTGTGAAACTATACTTGTACCTTTAGTTAAATACCTTCTGTAAAGGGCAAGAGAAACATGGAAAATCATTTGGGTATTAGCAGAAATGCTAAAAAGAGCATCTTTGGAGAACTTGAAGCAAAACATACACAGTCACAAAATTAAGTGACACTAGTCTACTGCAGTTCTTTTGCCCCTGTACCTGCAGTACTGAAATGATCTGACACAGAATAAATATTCTTCTTGGCTGCCTTGGTGCAGAATACTGGAATTGTGGGCACTAGTGCCTGGAAAGATGATTATCTCAATCACTGCAAGAGGGCAAAATGTAAAATCTATACAAAAGCATTCTTGCACCCAGGCGAAAGAGTGGGAATAAAATTCAGAAAGTGTGTTCAAAATTTAGATTGTTTCATGTTATTCTTAGTAGAAAAAACAGTAGCAGCAATGCAGAGAGAAAACATTGTATATTTTGAGGTTTTGCAGAAAAGATGTAGACAGTCCTTGAGTTGGACCAAGCCTGGAAACACTTTTTTAGCCTATGGAAGAGATTTCAATGGGCCTTTCAACCTAAAGAAATCACTTTGTACCACAGAAAATTAAAGAGATGATATTGATGAGCTATGACATGCAATTGAATTACAGACATGTTTATCAAAACACTGTACTTAGAACCGCAGTGACTGTTTCATGACCATGGTATTTCAATAAAACAAAATCTTTCTAATCTCAGAAGACCCATTTTGTTTGTTAGTTCTTTATTCTGCTCCTGGGTATTGGCAACTATTTGAAATTTCCTTTGTTAAATTGAAGGAACAGTTCATAAATTCTTTATAATTTTTCAGAAAGATACATATATATGTATTTTACATCAGTTTTTTCCTACCATGCCCAGTCCTAGATATACAAAATTGAACAATTGTTTCAAAATGAGAAGTAAACAACCACAAAGAATATTTCCATACAGTGTCAAAACACTGGCATGTGAGATGCTGAGCTCTGTACTTTCATATAAGTATTTAAAAATAGGTATTTTAAATCTGTGGAACTATAGCAGGTTCTGCACGTTCTTCCTACAAATGAATTTGAAGCAACAGGTGAGCTTTCTTCTTTCTAGATCTTTGATTCAAGATTAAAATCTTAATGCGGGAAAAAATTCTTCATTTTGGAACCCCCAAATATAAGTATTTGTAAATGCCCTTTCACCTAGAATATGTCATTTTAACTTTGAAGTTGCATTGAGTGCTTGTATAGATATTTTCTGTAGTGCAAACAGAATTCTGACAGGAAAGGCTCCTTTGATAACCTGCATTGTGGTTCAGCATTGTTTTGTTCACCTATAAATTCCACGTGGCTTGTGGGGAGCGGGCATTGTTCCCCCAGGAAATTACAAATACCTGTGTAAAGAAGTGGCCAAACTTGTTTCTTGCAACCTGGGTTGCTGTAAAAGATAAGAACTGTCTTGGCCTTCTCCATTTTTGGCTGGAGGGTGTTGAGATGCACTGTGGGTGTGTTTGTGCACACACACCTTATCTGAATGTATTTTAGCCCACGCTGGAATGAAAGAACACTTCGACCATTGATATACCTAATAAGTAAGAGCCTTGAGCAGGTAAAAATGTGCTTTTAAATCAATGCATTTACTTAATTAACGATTTTAATAGTAGGAAGGCCTGGCTGGCCAAGGAGCAACTAGCTCACCTTCCTGAGCACTGATTCTGGCTGCTGCTTCCTGTTCTGCTGATGAACAAGAACGATATGCTTTGCTGATCTTTAGATCACAGTCTTGAGCATAAATTAAGGGTTTAATCAGAGTAAGTGTAAACTACTTTAGAAGAGTGTTTGTTAAAATACTGAGAACTTGCAATTGCAAAATTCTTATGGAGGCATCAGGTTCCTTTGAGAACATTCCATTGTTCAGTCTGCCTTTTTCTTGCTACTTTTTATACTCTGCATGTGTATGATGATGGAACCAAAGAGATCAATTTTTCATGTTATGAGGATACATACTGGGTTTCTCTGCTTTACTCTAAGTACCAGAAGATATCAAGCTAATAATAAGGTAGTGACAGGTTAGTTTGCAGGGTCTTTCCTTTACATTTTATTCCCTGATGTTCAACTGCCTTTCTAAAACTGGTAAGATCTGTAAGGGCCTGCAAATCCCAATTAACCCCAGTTCGATGCTATTTGGAGGAACAAACAGTGCAGAAGTCGCTTTCTGCACTAATGAAGTGCACAGAATTTGTCAGTAGGTTATGGACAGTAAAGAACTGCTTTGAGTATTCTCAGTTTGAGCCACTTTAATTGGGTTGGAGTCTGGAGTTAATTAATCTTGTCGCTATTTGAATGTTTATTTAGATACTTACACCATTACTCCATGACTAATGTCATGTAGCAGCCATAAGAGTGTAAGCATGAAATGTACTTTCTGTGTTGCCTTTCTTTTTGTAGGCTTTGTATCTGTTTTTACAGGGCTTTCTGCCAAGCTCTAAGTGGCTAGAATATTCACTGAACTGAAAATTACTCTCAATGTTTGTTTAAATAGGCAAGTATTTGTTGTAAACACTGTGACAATTGGCTAACTATAGCACTTCCTATATTATCTGCTGAGATTAAGGACACAGTTTACACAGAGAAGAGCTTTTTTTTTAGAAAAAGAACAACATCAACAAAAGAACAAATCAGTGAAACTTCCTGTGTTTTCTAATGTTTTTTCTCTTTAATTACTTCTATAGGAATTACCAATGTCTTTATTTTCAAACTCGTATCTAGAAAGAAATTTGTTTTGGTAATTTTTTTTATGCATTTTTTTTTGTTTGTTTGTTTTTTTCCCCCTTAACTACTGTGTGAGTCAGATCTGTTAGTGCAAAGTGTGGAATTCTGGCAGTATCTCAAGTAAATACATCATGGAATCATCTGTTTATTGTTCAACTTATAGCACCCTTCACAAATCAAGAAGAAAATAAGCACCTTTAAAGAATTTTGGTGGAAAATCCTGTCATGAAATAGATACCGGTTTTAAAGACTAGGTATTTTTTTTGTTTTAGCTGATTCTCAGGATTATGTCATAGTATACTTATACTTCAGAAATATTGCCTGGAAACTAGGCAAAAGCAGAATGGTTTGTCAAAAAATGTGGAGGCACTGAAATGTAGATTTTATTATTCCAGAAGGAGTTACAGGAGAAGTTTAAACTACAGTCACCCGTCAAACAACTGAATTAAGGTGTGTTCAGCAGTTTGAAGGTATGTATCATGTGGTTGTCAAAACATCTCAGAGTGTCAACTTATAGAGGTTATTTCCTCTTCACAGGGAAAGGCACCTGGCAGGTGCAGAGATATACAATATAATTTACAAAGCCCTTAACGAAGATGAAGTTAAATATGGAAATGAAGTTGTGTAATTTTCAGTTGTGACATTTATTGATATTTGTTTAAATAGAGACTCCTCCAGTTGTTTGTTATGAACAGTTCTCATAGCCTTCAGATGCAGTCTGAAATGCAGAACAGCAATGATGAGCATTTACCTCTGACATTTTTCTTAGCATTGTTCTTAAAAGTATCCTTTGCCCCGTGCCCTCTGTGACCATAAGCATTTGCAAGGTGCATAGAAGGAAGAATTATTTATCAAGAGCACAAAGTAAAATTAATAAGGCAACAAATTTTTTCATGAATCATTCAAGGGATATCAGAGGACAAACAAATAGCTGCTTGCAGTTTTGTTAGATTTTGTTTAATGAATTGTTTATTGGTGCATGTATTGTGACCTACTGTGTGTTTCTACATAGCTGCCCTTCACTACTGGTTCAGTAGAAATGCTAATTTTCTCTTGTGTACACACATACTGACTCCCACAAAATGCTGCTGGGGATATTTATTCCAAGAGACCGGTCTGACCATCTTTTCTACTGAGTAGCTGAGGTTTTCTACTGAGCAGTATCTGAAAGTGCATTGCTGTGGAATACATATAAAGATGATGATGATTTCTCTGTATAATGAATAATAACGAGTCCACCTAACTATTTGTTCCTGCTTTGTGTGTTCACAATGCAAAGAAATGATGAATTTTTTTAAAGCCTTGTAAAAACACTAGCTTCTCCTCTGCACCAAGCCCTGATGGCTTGCCCTTCACTTACTCAATTGTTTGGGTTATGTTTACTAGTCATTATTGACCTCTTTGTTATCATAGCTACTGTTGACATCATTCCTTATCCAATAGAGATAAGGCCTTGTGTTCTGTTGCATCGTTACAGGCAGCTTTCCAATTCCAAATTGTTCCTCTATATTTGAAATATTTGTCTTTTGAGCTTTGTAATGAGACTTGTTTACATGGGGGAGGGGAGGAGAAAAATCCCTCTAAATGAATGCAGTAATCTCGGTATAAAAAAACCCAATAATTCAGTGAGAAAATAAGGAGAATGTGTTTTCCAGCTGCTGTTTGTAGATTCCTGTTGCTAGGGTGCTTGATAATCACAGAGTATAACCCTGTCCCATGGTTACGGTTTGCCTATCTTTGCTTTTCTTGACAACGGGGTTAAAGACTATACCCTCATCACTTATCTGATTAGAACCAGCTCAGAAAATTAATGCTAAGAGAAAAAAAATCTTATGCAGCCCAAGTAATCATCAGGGTGTTGGATTTCATTAATGAACTGCTAAACCTGTGAATGACTCATCAGAGGGGTGGACATGGAAACTTGCCTTGCTTGAACTCATTTTATTGACTTTAATTAGGAGAAACATGTCCTTCAGTGTGATAACTTGCTTCTGTAAGAACAATGTCAGAAAAGGGAAGCTTTTGCTCTTTAGAACAAGGCTGGCTGTTTGCTTCTTGAATTAAAAGAATCAGCCATTTAACCAGTAGTCACTGGACAACGAGACCAATACATCTCATTGCCCTTGTCTGTACTACTAGCTTGTATAAGACTGCTTCTTCTCAGTTCACTCAAACATCTCTTTGGTACTGATTAGCCAGTGTCAAAATGTGTCCTAGGAGCTGCAGAAAGCAAGCAAGCAAGAGTTTTTTCTTGAAAAATCTCTGTGCTTGAAACAAATAAAACAGCAAAAAGGAAGAAGGTAACACACTAACACCCGTGTCTGGAGGAAAAGAAAGCAGAGGTTGGAGAACATGTCACAGATTTATTTACAAGTAACCAAAATACTTCTTTGGCTTCTATTTTTCTTTACTTGGTAATTGTATCCCATGTCTTCAACGGTAAACCTTGTTTGCTCATGAGCTGAATCAATCCTCCCCTGACCTCATTAGTCCAGCTGTTGGCTGTATTCTAAGCTATGTGGCTACTTAGTTGCATTTGACATACTGTTCTTTCTTTTTTCTACCAGCAGTCAGGACCAGAACAGCTCACAGGGCTTTAAACTCCCAAGGAAATCCAACTGCTGTTAGTCTGGGCTCTAAATCCTCTGCTGGCTTGTTGTAATCACTGTGTAGTGACATGCACAGTACTTGAAATCTTGTAGTGCCAAGACTGTGGCTTTTATGAAGCTGAGAAACGTACAAGAAATCAGCCTTTTTAAGATGGGATATTTTGATGCATTGCCATTAAGATATAGAATTTTCATCAATGAATTAACATTCTTTGAAAGATACTGTCTCAAAAGGAGACTGAATAACATCTTTCAGTTACCTTGCCATGACTCCTCTGTTCCTAGAGACATATTGGCCTTAATTCATGGTTTGTGATTAAGCAATCTCAGGATTATTCTTTTTTTTTTTTACGTGAGTACTAAGTGCTCTAGAAATGACTGTTGAGAATTATTTGGCTGTTATGCCTCTTTGACAGTGCTTTTTCTTTTTTTATGCTTATGTCCAAGCATGAGGGCAAGAATGAAAAACTAAGATGCAGCTGGTCATCTGCTGGTCACCTTTCAAGGAGTGACTTTCTTCACTTGAGTTAAGGTAGTTAATCTGCTCCATATGATTGGTATAAAGGGCAGCTAGTATGAAATTGTTAATAAAGTTAACTACTGCTAACAACAGTTGAGAATCTGCCATTCTAAGCACATTGTGGTTAGAGACCACCACTGATCCTTTTGACTCCATTTGCTTGGGCAGCTAAGCAATTTGAAGGGATGAATTACAGAATACAGTCACAATGTGACCTACGTGATGACTGAACAAACAGCATGGTCCCATTTCAGTGGGGACTTGAAAGAAAAAGGCTTTAATGGACAAGTACAGGGTCCAATTTTCACTACTATCAGTAACTTATCAGTTACCTGTTTTAGATAGATGTAAAATGCCTGTAAATGAGCTTCAAACATTCACTTAGCTGTATGCAAATTATAACCATGTTGAAATATGAAGGTAAATTTAAAAAGTAAATGACAGTGCTAAGAAGACAGAATATTAGTCCAGGAGAGTCATTCTCTGGTTTGACAGGAATTGAAGAATATCATTGAAGATATTCCTTGAAGAATATCAAGGAACACCAAAGTGAGTATTCCACCCCAAAGATGCTCTAACCACTCCCAATGCTCTTTTAAAAATACTCTTCTGAAAAAGTAGAGATTGAAAGAACCACCATCAAAAACTAAGCAGTTATGTAAGAAGGCTACTGAAGTTTTAAGTTCTTATCATTTCCTTGAAATCCTTACCCTTAAAATGGTCCAATTCCTTATGATCAGTCCTGTGTCAAATCATACAGTAACAGTGGTAAGTTACCAAGTTCAATTCCAAAAGAGCTCCCAGCTGTACAGTTGTGGCTAAAATTAGCCAACATTACCACTTCTTAGTCTTACCAGGAATTTGTTTGTAGAACTAAACCCTAGATGTGAGAGAATCCGTATCTGTTCCTGTAGGCTCGTGGTGCCAATATGACATCTCTGTGAAATTCCCTGGTCTGTCAGTTGGATTTTCTCTTCCCATGCCTGTACCATAATTTTCTTCCATATATAACTGTTGTTTGTAACATTTTTCTGTCTACAAAAGGGTGTAAATATACTGGTTTTATGGATGATCCAGTATATTTACCATCTTGGGGGCAGCTGCAGTGTTGCCTAGCTGAGTCTTGTCCACCTTCAGAGTTGGAGATATCAAGCATCTCTGGCAATCTGGCTACACAATCCCTCCTAGGGAAAGCTTGTCCTGATGTTTTTTCCAACTTCTAGCATGAAAGTGTTAAAGCAGAACCTGTGTACTTCATCTTGGAACAAGTTTACAACTCTAAAGTAGCACATAAAAATGCAAGGCCTTTTTCTTCAAAGGATGTCCAACTATCTGTATTTCAAAGGGGAAGAAGTGCAACTTATTTCACAGCAACATTTATGCAACTAAACAAGGTGAGAATTTGTACCAGTCTGAAAAGTGAGCATAGCACATTATTTTTGCTAATTTCTTGCAGTGAAAATCCAGCAATCCCCAAAATGGAAATTTATTTTCTTTTCTCCTACTCTCCCCACCTTTTGTTTAAGAATTTTCCAGACACATGCATGGCCATCCCTCTAGGACTGGTTGGAAAGAACATGCAGACTTCCATAGGAATATGATTAATATCCACTGATAGAGGGGTGCTCTATAAGGAATTGTATAATTCATGTACAAGAGTTTGAAGACCTTAAGTGGCTTTAACTTGAGATATATTGTTGTAGAAAAGCACACTCCATTTTTTTCCACAAGTGAGATACTTCTTCTCTTCCCCATCTTCCCTTTTTCTTTAAAATCCTTGCTCACACTGCCTTTGACAGGAGCATCATAAATTTGAGCCATGCTGCACATTCTTAGAAATTACAGAAAAACTTTGTTGAGCTCTGTCAACCCCCTTCAAGTCTCTATGTGATAGAAAAATGCTGCCTTCTATTTGCAGTCAGTGTTGTCTTCGTAGGTTTAGTGGGGTTTTTCTTGAGTTCTGTGGGGAAGTATTAGACATGGATTTGTATGTTTATTTTATTACTGAACATTAGTATGCTGAGGGCACAATGAAGCAGATGATACCCTCTGCTTTGTTGCCTTTGTGAAGGACTCAGACTGTCACAGACTGGCAGCCAAACAGTTTGTTGGAACAGCAGCTTTAGAGTATGACATAATGTGCTTTTGAATCACTTCTGAGTTGAGTCAAAGGAAAAAAAAAAAAAACCAACAAAAAATGAGCAATTGACCACAGCCCTGGAGAGAGGGGATTTGCCTGACTGTCAGGCTGCTGAGGGGCTCTGGCCTAGATATAAGTGGACTATGGCTTTTTCTTTCCAGTTTGTACAAAAGCATTTCTAGAGAGGATTCCACTTTCCATCTGAAGCGCACTTTGGCACTGCTTCTGGGATAGGATCCTTAGCTCTGTCTGTTCTCATCTAAAACTTCATTTTACTTTATTTTTAAGCTTAGTCTTGTGAATAATTTTAGTGTGGGTGAGCAACTGAGAAACTGTGCTAGAAATTACTTAATTCTTCTGCAAATAGTCGAAGCAACTACCAACACAATGTCTGTAAATGGATTCCTTGTGACTTTCCCAGTGAAACAGTTGTGGAAATCAAGCGCCTATGAGAAATGCCCAGGTGGTGCTTTGCCTTTTGCTGATTCTTCTGTAAAACAGCTTTAAACTTTATTGCTAAGCTTTGACTGTATATTGTAATCTCTTGTTTGATTAGTTAAGTATAGCTTCCAAGGCAAAAGTAGCATAGATTTCTAAAGGCAGATAATATTGCACTGGGAGGCAGTGTTTTCAAGAAGAGAGCTCTTAGTCATTCTGTGTTCATATGCAGCTAAAAAGCTCTTGTAGAAGTGTCATGTCTATGGGATTTTTCATTCTCATTTCAGTCCAGGATTTCTGGAACTCCGTCACCCTGCTGTGCTGATTGCACCTTTGTTTTCCTTCTGAAGCTCAGCTCAAAGCTATAAAACTGTTTTGTACCCTACTGTATTCCCATTTGATCCAAATGAGGGGATTGTTGGGAGGTGATAGGGAGGCTGACCAGGATACTAGGAAAGAAATTCTGTTGTAAATGAAGTGAGAGGGTGTATTTGGTCATACGCACGAGGCAGGCTCTGGCCTCATGTAAATGCAGCTCTTCCTTGCTGCTATCAGGTTTGGGGTTTTTTTAATGTATTTAAAAGAGAACTAAGTTTGAAATGGCTCAAGATATTTATATTCCTTGACAAGCAGAACTGTGAAGGCACTGTAGGTGGTATCATGCAAGAATTTCCCGGGATTTCCAATCTATTCCTTATTCACTAGAATTGCCTGACATGCTCCTGGCCAGCAGGGAATGGAGTAGGCATCACTGCTGTATTTTAGTCACTGTCTAGGGTTCTCCATACATGAAATTTCATCCTGACCTTTCTTTACAGTTTTTCCTTGTTTGACAAAGTACTAGTAGTAATTATATTTAACTATGTAAACATAATTTTTTATTTCATTCATCTCTCTTGTGGGCACTCAGTCTGAATACAAAATTTTAAGAATGTTTTATCTTCTAGTGTTTCTGGTTAGGTTTGTTTAAGTTCTAGAAATGTGCATTTTTGTATTCCAGGTCCTGAACACAGAGCTCTATAGACAAACTTCCAAACTGGATAGCTTCATGGAGAAATTAGGTGGAGGGAGAGTATTTAAGCACTGCAACAGGTTCCACAGTGAGGTCTGTCTTTGGAGATAGCAGAGAAGTTGACTGAATAAAACCCTGAGCACTGAGCTTAGCCCAGCTTTTGCCATAAATGTGGAATGAGATCATCTCAAGAAGTCCCTTCCAGCCTAAGTTATTTTACAATTGATCTGAATACATCCTACAGTGTTTCTAAAGGGAAATTTAATTTGTATTATTAGCACCATAACATTTTTGTGGGGGGAGGGGTGTTTGGCAGACTTCTCAAATTCTCAACTTTCTAAGGAAGTTACCATTTAAAAATGCAAAGAATTGAAATTAAGGGGCTGGTATTGATTGTAAAGTGAAACTGCATTTCTTTTACCACTGTTCAGAAGTCTTTTTGTATTTAAAAAATGTTTGTTAGTATTTAGAGAGTGAGGATCTGTTCAAATTTATTTTAAATCTTTTTAATTTTCCAGTTCTAATGAGCTTGAGTTTATGAAATGGAATATTGGCATTTTATATCCTTAAGAAATCCATTTAATACTTGGTAGAAATTATAATCACCCTTGTAGCAATTGATTTATCTGCTCCATTTGATCTTGTGCAATATTTTAATATCTTATTTCAATATCTTCTTAACATTCTGATAATACTGTATATTTTAAAAAGCCCTCATCTAAAGAGGAGTACCTAAAGAGGGCTTACAGGGAGTCTGGAGAGGGACTTTTCACAAAGGCATTAGTGATGGGACAACAGGGATTAATGGCCTTAAACTGAAGGAGGATGGGTTTAGATTACATATTAGGTAGAAATCCTTTACAGAGAGGGTGGTATGACACTGGAACAGATTGCACAGAGAGGTTGTGGATTCCTCGTCCCTGGAGGTGCTCCAAGATAAGGATGAACGGGGCTCTGAGCAACCTGGTCTAGTAAAAGAATGGTACTGGGCATCACTTGTTGCTCTTGTGTTTTATTTCTGTCTGTCTTTTTGTTATTTCCCTTTTCATTATCATTATAATTATTATAATATTTAAATTTATTTCAGTTATTAAACTGTTCTTACTTCAACCCATGGGTTTTACCTTTTTCTGGTTCTCCTACTCGTCATGGCAGGGGGGAAGGGGAGTGAGTGAGTGGCTACATGGTGCTCTGTTGCTTGGGGTTAAACCACAACATACCAGAATGAGGAGCAATGGTTATTAAGTTCTCAGCACACCTCCTGGATTATTCTTGATCAGTAAGAATTTTCTAGATGGGTTCTCAGTAAGGTTTTCTAGAAAACCTTAGACATACCTTTTCTACCTTTCTAAATTCACAGTGATTGTTATCTTTTGTTTTTTCGTCATGTACTACCTCTGAGGATTATTAGACAACGTCACTATTTTATTAATTATCCTTTTGTCTCTTTTTCTGAAAATAGTCTGTCCTTTGTTTTCCTAAACTAGGTACCTCCACAAGCTGCATGTTTATGTGCTGAGACTGTGACGACCTGCTCTTCTGCACCAAGAGTGTAGGTGAGGTGAGAGGAGATCCTGCAGGGCTCTTTCTGCAGCTTGATAAGAAAGATCTGATGACAAATGGCTTCATAAAATAGTTGTTTTAAGAAGACAGAATAAATAAGACAGAATAAAAAGAGGGATATAGGTAGTGAGTAAACCTTTTGTCCCTTCAGATGCTGAGAAGCATGCAGCAGCATCAGATGGACTCCGGATGGATTTTGCTATAGTATGCTAGGCAGAAACCATCTATGGAGAGTATTTCCTCCTCTTTGGTGCTTTGAAATAATAAACAATTCTCTTACAAGAGAGCAACTCTACTCCTGAGAGTTGTTGAGTTGAGAACTTCTGAATGCACTGTTGGACACGGGCAAGGATGTTCAGGTGTTTCAGTGTCAGGGTTGCCTGTGGGCTCCTCTGCTGCAACCAGCTGCTGAGGTGACCTTGTGGCCACAGGACATGCACGGCACAGCCTGATGGCCACACTGGATGTGCAGCACAGCACAGCACAGTGCAGATCTGCCTCTGGTCATGTGGGCTGAGATGTGGATCGCCAGCTCCTTTACTTACAGCAAGTGGTTTTTCAGTCAGGATCAGTACTCCCACTGATCTAGGTGTTACCAGCACTTGTGGTTTGTTTTTTTCCCCTCAGCATTAACTCTTACATATTTCCATTCATACTTGATTCATACCAGTCCCAATGTTTCTGTTTCTCTGCAGCACTACACTTGTATGCTGCTTCAGGAAGTATAGTGCAAAATTCTGGCTCTTTCACTTGGTGTTTTTCTCCTCTTTGACTCAAAAAAGATATGTGATCAAGTTTATCCTTTGAAAGGGTTTACTTGAAAAAATACCTATTCATGAAATCAGATCTCCTTTAAATTAAAACCCACTAAAATGCAATATACGGAGCTGCATCAGTCAGCATACCCATCTTTCCCTCTTGCCATCAAAGGAACAATAGGACTGGGTTATCTGTCTGGTGGCCATGAAACACAGTGCTCTGATTTGTTATACAAAATACTATCCTGGACATGAACTGACAGAAGTGTTCTGAGACATTCATTATGTAACCTGGATTTTCTTTTAGTTTCTTCTGGGTGTAGTTCAATATATGAAGAATGCCAGGGCAAAATTTAGTGGCTTTATTGCTGATTTATTTTGTTGTGAAAAAAGTAGCTGGTGTTACATACAGTAAAACTTTGTCAAATATTTTTCACAGAGATTTCTCTCTGTAATGCATGATGCCTTTTTTGTTTGTTTGTTTGTTTAACCCTTGTATTTAATTTTGGCTCTTTGCTTAGCAGTTTTCTGCTTTACCCAACTAGTAGACCAATAGTGCTTTTAAAAAATATTTTCCATTTGTACTCAATAAAGCAAATTAATATAATTTAAACCCAATTACTTATGAATCATTGACTTACAGGGGAATGTAAGAATTCAGAGCCAGAGCTTTTGAAACTGAGCTATAGAGCTCAGCTGAGATGGTAGCTGCTAAATCACAGCTTTCAGGACACTGCAGTCAATTGCCTTAAGGACTTTGATATCCTTAGAAACCTGAAGAAGTTGCTTCTCTGATTTCAGTTATTTTCACATCTCTCTGCCTTATGAGACAAATTAATTTTTCTGGTTCATATTAGAGGTTCTTCTGATGTAAAAAAAGAGTCTAGGAGCATATTAAGCAAATTTCCAATGTTAACACTTATTTTGTATGATAATTTTGTACTAATGGGTGGATTTTTTTGTTAATGTTTGTGTTTCTTTCCCTTCCAGCACATCAGGTATTTTCCCTCTGCATCTCTGATGTAATCAGAGTACTAGTTATTGTTCTTCTCCTAAATAGGTTATAACCAACATAAAAGTGCAAAACTGATAAAATATGTCACATTTGCTCTGGGTAACTCAACTGACATGAATTTAGTGATCATTTAACCATGAGCATTTAAATGTGATCTGAGACTATTCCAGGGGAAGTCTGATCCCATGCTGAGGTCTAGTAATGCAAACAGTGTAGCTTTGTTGTTTGTCAGACACGACATGTATGGGCTGCTCCATGTACACACACACAGAAAAGAAAAAAAAAGAGAAAAAAGAGAAAGCAAGGACATAGTAAACCTCAAGCTTTGAGCCTTTGAATGTCCTCTAGCAATTCATGCCTGATTAAACCCCATTTTAATGCCTGAGTTCTCTTCTTTGTTTGCTCTTGTTCACTACAGGAGTTTTACACTCCTAGAGCAAAAGTAGAGAGCAGGCTTCCCTCTCTCAGGTATTCCCATTAGTAATCTGACACAAAATAACCTACCTGTAGCAGTACTTTGACACATCAGAGTATGAAATTACCTGTTTGAGATGTGGACAAATACTCCACTCCAACATCCTGTTACAGTGGTGGTAAAAGTGGAAGAAGTCTAATCTAAACACCTGAATTCAAGGATATAATGATTAACTTCAGCAAAATTTGACAGAGAATATGCCTATGTCTCTTAGCGTGGAAAGAACAGTCTCTACGTCCAGCGGATAACAGAAAGCATTCTTATATTAGCTCTAATTATTGACCAGAAAATACTCTGATTTTACTCTAGTTGACTGATTCATATTTTGTAGTTGATTGGCTTTTGTTTGCAATAGATGAATACCTAAATCAAGAGTGGGACTCAGCTTTCAAATGCTTCTAAGGAATAAGCACTAAGTGACCAAATAGGACATTAGACCTAAATAAATAACAGCACAGAATATGGGAACCTTTATTGCATTTGACCCTTCGCTTCCTGTTGAACCACATGCTTCCTAAGCAGTAGAGAGCAGGTTATATTTTGGTGTGGTTTTGCTTAGGTTGTTTTAATTTTAATGTGACTTTTCTATGGTTTTATTTAGTAACAGTAAATAAGAAAGTAAGGGAATTACAAATGAAATGCTAACTGCTTTTATGTCAATCATAAAGCTCTCAAATTTAGTGGGGCTAGAACTTCACGATGATTTTAGGCTGCATTACAATAAGCCTAAGTGTGGTGACAGCACATATTCACACTGATGGGATGAGCTCTGACAAAGATCTATTTGTCTTAACGCTGCTAGAAAACAGAAAGTATCACAACTAAATCTGTTGGATAGCCTCATATTATTGTCTGTAGCCAAGAAAAATTGTGGCACGTGGTAGCTGCTTGGATAACACAAATCTACTCTTCTTATCACTCCATTTCCTAAACAATGAACATTTCTTAACAGTAGCCTGCTGCAACATGTCACAGTAAAGGAATTCTTATTTTTACACAAAGAAAATAGGAATTTAGTGCCAGGGGCAGTCAACAACATTTGAGATGAACAAACAGGTGACTTTAAGAAATACTTCATACATTTTCATATCTGCTGACACAAAGTAATTCAGCTAAAGTGAACAAAATAGTACCCAGCTTCTTAGATTCCAGCAGCTAATTGCTGAGAGTACCTCTTCAGGTACCTTCTTCTATTCTGTGACCAATCTTGGTAAATTTTCATCTTTTATTTTGACTTTTCCACCTCTCCTTGAAGCATTTGAGAATGTAGGTCACCAAAGGCAAAGCAGTGGTGAAAAAGCCTTGCAGTAAGGAAACAGCATGGCCTGGCCATTTCCATATAAATGCCATCAAGTTTTGTTTACTCTCTTAAATGCGATGCTAATTCTTAGATATTAGACTTCACTGATGCCCACCCTCTCTGCAATTTCAAGGTTCACTTCCTGGCCATTTTCCCTCCTGTCAAAAAGAGAAGTGCAATTTATATCTCCTCCTGAGAGTTTTTTAAGGCTCTGAGCTAACAAAAAGAGTAAAATTGGGACTATATGTGATAAGTTGAATAAAATATCAAAAAAGGGACAACAAAATGTTTTCAATGGTTAATTGAGGGAGAAAAAAATCAGAAAATTAATAAGACTGCAGTAACTACTTTTGTCTTGTCCATTCTGTGGAATTATATAGAATATAGATATTTAGAAATGGCTAAGTGCTACAGGCTTTTGAACGTACCATCTTCAACTAAAAAGCCAGTGGCTTTAACTACAAAGTCACTTCACATATAGCTAAGATATTCAGTGAATGGGTGACGTGCCTCTTGTCAAAACCTTCACATCACTGAATGCTTCTCTCATAAAGACCTTTTTTCCTTTTAAGTAGTGTCTTTGTGCTACAATAATTCTATGTTGCTCAGATTTCTTGCTGCAAAATGGATTATCCCCAATTTATATCTGCAAAATATACACAGAGTGAAACTGAATGTGTTGATACCTTCTCCATGTACGAAATACACTACTGAAATCCATATTTCTGAAATGTTGGTCCAAAGTAGTGGATATGCTGCAAAATTTATCTTTTTCTAGAGTTGCTCTACATTGTCCTAATTTTTGTTCATTTTGACTTTTTGGTAGGACATTGGGGAAGAGAATATAATAGAGGTTGGAACAGCATTCGTCTGAAAGAAAGATCATGTGATGAGTTATTCCCAAAAAGGGTTTGTGTGCAACAGAGAAGAGTGAGAAAGGTGTTTTTAACTTTATAGCTTCTGAAGCTCTGTGTGCTCTGATTGAAGCTTAACTTTTCATTATAATTTTTGATGGAAGATTTGACAAATAAAAATTCTATCATGTTCAGTCACTTGCAGGACTATGCTCTGTACTGAGTGACCAAGTTATTTCATTATTACATGTACACATCTCCTGAAGTCTGGCTTTTACATCTGTGTGCTTTTAGTATTAATTTATATTTCAGTAAAACTGATGAGCAGTCCTGATTCCGTAAATGTAATTGGATTAGTTGCTATACAGTGTTACAGAACTGCATTTTGCAAAATACAGAATGACCTAAGTCAAACTTTCTGTGCATGAGAATGGCCCTTTATGCTTGACTACCTACTTGAAATTCTGTCACATTGTTTATGCAATTAAATATTCCTTCAAATTTCATATATTAAAAAATGTATTGGTACTGCTAGTGGGTACCTGGCAGGCAACTAGTTTTGCCCTCCTGTAAGTGACTAAGACTATACTTGTGGCTGTACATAAATTGATAACAAACATAATATGACATATTGACCATATGTATGTTCCACGTATATATACAAATGACGATGTTTATGACTATTTGTATAACTTGCAAAATTGTACTTAGTTTTCACAAGATGGAAGACTGGAATAGGCTTGATTGATTTTTAATTTCTCCAACTATTCCAAGAGGTGATTAAAACAAGTTAAAAACTGAAAAATGAACAACCCCTATTTTTCTAAATGAAGTGACCACCTGGCATTTAAAAATTATTCCACCATTTTGATGGTAGTTTCAATAAAATTCTTTGATTCTCACAAATTTTCTGATTAAAACTTAGCATGTTTGAAAATTACAAGTGAACTAAAGTGACCTTTTATAATGTAATCTTGGTGATACATTTCCCTACCCAGGCCTCATGGCTTCATAAAATCCTTTTTACTTATTGTTTAATACTTCTGGCTCAAGACAGGATGTATCTGCTGATTCATTGAGCACCCAGTGTTTATGTAATCTACCATTCTGTCAGTGTTGCATCTCATCTCTCTCAATCTGGGAACTAATGCTGGCCACAAAGTTTTCCAACCCTGGTGGAACTGGCTTAATGTATTAGCAAAGGAGCTGCCTAAGCAGGAAAGAATTCTCTGTCTTGTAGAGAACAAGGGAAGGAGGGAAGAAAAGCAATAAAAGGATTTAAAATAGCAAAACTTTTGAACAGAATTCATATGAGGATAAACATTATAGAAATTACAGGGATGGGCAGTAAGTACAGAAGCTTGAAAAGAAGCTGTGTCAGCTGCAGGTAACAGACATGCATCTCTCCCAGAAGATTTTGTCTTGAAGTGAAAGACGAACTGGTATGTTAGCTGATGGAGAGAATGAAGCAGGGAAGTATTTATGGTTTTATTTTTAATAGATCTGTGTACTTCCTTTAGTGTTGATTAAAATCAATAATAATCTGGAATTCAGCATGAAATCTGTTTGTGCTTTTATTGTGTAGCTCTGGAAAAGGCAGCTGTAGATCCAGTTTTCTGCTCTCTGTTGCCATCAGTCCAGAGGCAAGAAATCCTTAAACTGCAGCTTGTAAGAATTTTGCGTTCTCAAAGTCCCAGTGGGACCCAGGGTATGGGCAGTACCAGCACTCTGCTCCCTTCCTGGGTTCTAAGGATAAGTACTCCTGCTGCAGCGGCTTGAGAGTGTTTAACAAGAGTGTGTCAGAGAGAATTACATTTGATCAACCACATTTTCAAACATCTATTTAGCAGAGCAAAAGAGGATTTAAAATGCTAGGTCAAACTGAAAAATCATCAGGTCAGGTCTCCTGGGAACTCACACAATAGCCTGTGCCAAGAAGAAAAGATGGTATCCTTCAGCCACAGTGACAGCCTACAAACACAGCTGTACTAACCTCCTTGGGAAACGCAGCTAATCTTAGGATAAGATAGTGAGATCTCAAGGTCACGGTCAAGGGTCTTTTTTTTCTTGAGAGAGAATAGACTTCCAAAAGAGACTAAGATAATCAAGAGTTGGACTACTCTTTGGATTTCTGTGAGGTTCTGTTCTGTGGCAGAGCACTACTGTCTCATCTGTGTAAAACAGAATAGATTCTTTTCTGGATTGAGAAAAATCATTCTTTGTGTAAAGATGAGAGAGGACTTCTGGGAACTCTAGGGAATTAATTGTTACAGTGTAATTGTATCACGTAAAATAAGTGTGCTGAGTGCTGAAGAGATACACAACATAGTTTTGTGAACATAGTGCATATTTTGTTTTGTTTTTCAAAAAGATGTCCAAGGCACGCATAGGACCCAGTTAATTTCCACACAGGATTAAGATGAATCTAAAGTTATATTACTTTATTAAGGTAGTGTGATAATATGGTGTGTTGACCTTGGCTAGCCTGACAGGTGCCCACCAAGCCCCACTATCAATTTCCTGCCTCAACAGGAGATGTGACAAAAGACTCATGGGTCAAGACAGGGACAGGGATATGACTCAGTAATAACCATCATGGGCAAAACAGGCTCATTGTGGGGAAATTAATGTAATTTATTGCAAATCAAAAGGACAGAGTAGGATAACAGGAAATCAAACCAAATCTTAAAACACGTTCCCCCACTGGTCCTTTCTTCCCAGGCTCAACTTTACACTTGACTTCTTTATCTCCTCCTCCTGAGCAGTGAAGAGGGATGGGGAATAGGGCTTCAGGTCAGCTCATAAGGCTTTGTCTGCTATACTTTTCTCCTCATACTCGTGCCCTAGCATGAGGTCTCTCCCATGGGAGACAGTCTTTCACAGACTTATACAACATAGGTCCTTCCCATGGGCTGCAGTTCTTCATGAGCTCTTCATGAACATGGGTCTTTTCCATGGGATGCGGTCCTTTAGGGAACAGACTGCTCCAGTGTGGGTCCCCAGATGGGATCACAGGTCCTGCCAGAAAGCCTGCTTCATCATGGGCTCCTCTCCATGGGGTCACAGGTCCTGTGAGGAGCTGGCTCCAGCATGCGCTTTTTCTTCATAAGTTCACAGTTTCCTTCCTTTATCCACCTGCTCGGATAGGGGATCCTCCACAGGCTGCAGGGTGTTTATCTGCTCCATGGGCTGCAGGAGCATATCCTGCCTCACCGTGGTCTTCACCATTAGCAACAGGGGAATCTCTGCTCTGGTGCCTCTTCGTCCTCCTTCTTCAATGACCCTGGGGTCTGCGTGGGAGGTAGCTGGGGAGAACAATGATCTAGGCTGGAAGGACAGCCTATCTAATACATTGGGTGCTGTGTGCCCAGGAAAGATCCATGTGTGTGCATGTTTATGTGTTGCTATGTGCAAGGAAATCTGAAGCAGTAGCTGGAGTGGGACTGGGGGGTCTGGGGAGCAGTGTGTGCAGATGTCAGCAACTGGGGAGACCTGGGATCCACGATCATTACTGGACAGATTGCATGTCTAAGCCAAACTACTGTGAGAACTGTAATGCATGTGAGTGAGGAGGTCTGTACCAGGCACTGGAGTGGGGGTTGTATGTCTAGGGCACAACTGCAGGGGAGATCAGGGATCCAGGTATCAGCCGATTGTAGTGTGTGTCTGTGAGTGTGGTCTGTAAGAGCAACCAGAGTGGCATTGCAAGTCTTGGGAGCTTATATGTCCAGGATACAGCAGCGGGGGACACTGTGGATCCAGGGTTAGACTGAGTATCTAAGCTCAGCTACTGGAGAAATTAACGTTATATGTATGCATATATTTTCTACTAATGGGCTTGCATCCTGATTAGCCAACGGGCAATAAGATGAGGCCGTTGGTGCTGTTTCTGTTTGTGTGAGTGCTGAGTATTTCTGGCTGTAGTGATCTGTATAGCTGTCCATGGGTGTATATGCACGCATGTGTTTCAGAAGTGTGTTTGAATGGGCCTATCAAGAATACATGTTTAGTCTCACTACCAAGTACCAATACAGGCTGGGGCATGAAGAGACTGAGAGCAGTCCTGCGGAGAAGGACTTGGCAGTGTTTGAGGATGATTTTGTTTTGTGCTCTTATGAGAGATCACAAGTGCCTTTACCCATCTCTACCACAAAACCTTCATTGGTAGTACAGCCAATCTCTACCCTAACATGAAGGTGCTTTTAGAGCTCCTTTATGACATTGTGGGTCATTTCAGTAATTGCCTTAAGTTACTGAAATCAGAGTTCATAAGTTAGTTCTATAATAGTTTGCAAACTATTGTTGTGCATCTTGAGGCAAGGATAGGTGTATGACCAATTAAAAAAGTTAGCCGTGTATCTTTTCTGCATTTGAAAAATCAAGACTCTCTTGCATATCAACATTTTACTTTCCTCCTCTCCCTCACATCTGCAGGTAGATTGTTTTAACTTCATTCCAGCACAGCAGCCTATCAAATTACAGCCCACCAAGCTCTGTGGGATCATTGGATTCCACTTACAAATTCACGAATGAGGATGCACAAGCGTTCACCGGATTTCTGCTGACTCCCGTACTGTCTCTGCGCTCTAGGATTTGGGATGGGATTGCTCCAGGCTAGGTTGGTGGCTGCGCCTCCCCGCTGTGCCAGCCCAGGCAAGCAGGCAAGCTGATGGAAGGCGAGGTTTTTACGGAATGCCCACTGTGCCACACAGCCCATCCTCTTGCGCGGTTTTTAGGCACCGTGGACAACCCCAGCTTCAAGCACGGGGAGCGGAGACCCGGCCCCAAACCCGCCGGAGCCCGCAGCCCCCGGGTGTCTCAGGAGGGGCACACAGGAGGGGGACACGGGAGGGGGACACGGGAGGGCACACAGGGCACATGGGAGGGGAACACGGGAGGGGCACACGGAGGGGCACACGGGAGGGCACACGGGAGGGGCACACGGGAGGGGCACGGAGGGGCACACGGGAGGGGGCACGGGGGCACAGGAGGGGGACACGGAGGGGGACACGGGAGGGGCAAACGGAGGGCACAGGAGGGAGCACAGGAGGGGAGCACAGGAGGGGGACACGGGAGTAACACATGGGAGGGGCACACGGGAGGGGCACACGGGAGGGGCACACGGGAGGGCACACGGAGGGCACACGGGAGGGGCGCACGGAGGAGCACAGGAGGGCACACAGGAGGAGCACACGGGAGGGGGACACGGGAGGGGCACACGGGAGGGGGACACGGGAGGGGGACACGGGAGGGCACACGGGAGGGCACACAGAGGGCTCAGGGGGCGGCCCAGCCCCCCCTGCCGCGGCGCGGGGCGCTGCGCGGGGCGCGCGCGGCGCGGCCCATGTAAGGCAGCAGCTGCGGCGGCGGGCGCCGCGCGCCGCCCGGGTCCGTGCGCGGGTCTGGCGCGGCCCCCGCCCGAGCGGGGCGCGCGGCCTATGGGCGCTCGCGGCGGGCGGCGCCGGGCGGCCGCCAATGCCCGCGCGGGGGGGGCGGTACCGCCGCAACCGCCGCGCCCGCCCCGAGAGCAGCGGCCGCTGCCCACAGCGCCGGACGCAGCCCGGGCGAGCGCCCCCGAGACCTGCCGCCCCTCCTCAGCCGGCGGTGAGTGAGTGCGGGGACGGCTCTCCCGGGGCCCAGGCGAGGCGAGACGAGGCGATGCCCGCGCTGCTGGGGGGGTGGGTGGGGTGCATGTCCTGTGTCGTGCCCAGTGTACCCGCTCCCTCCTTCGTATCGCGCCGATGATCGATCGCCGCTCGCTTATCGAGGGCGCGAGTGCAGGAGGTGATGCCGAGGGGCTGCCGGCCCCGGTGCCCCCCGCCGGTGCCCATGGCCACCGGAGGGGCGCTCAGCCCAGCCCAGCCCAGCGCAGCGCAGCCCAGCCCGGCATCGCCGTTGCCGTTATGTAACGGCCGCGGGGGGCTGCGGGCGCCGCTCCCCTCCTTGGGGTTCATCCCCGCGCTGCTCCCCCGGTCTCCGGCGTGTCCTCCGCTCCCCTCCGGGCGCCGCGGGGAAGGGGCTGGCGGGGAGAGGGGCTGGACGCGGGGCTGCGCGCCTTCCTCTGCCATCGGCGTGGGCTCCGCCAGCCGCATCCCCCGGTCGCCATCGCGGGGGGACGCGCGGCCGCAGCCCCGGGGGGCCTGGGAGCGGCTTGTCGGCTCCAGCTCCGTGGTGGAGGTTGTCTGCGGGCGGGTGCCGAGTCCGGCGCTGCCGCCGCGGGCATCTCCTGAAGGAGCCAGGGAAGGAGCCACCTTGCGCATCACACACCGAACGCTCAGCTGCGCTCCGGGGCTGACAACAAAGCCTCGGCCGCTGCTGCTGCCTGCGCTGGTGTAGAGGCAGCGGTCCCCTTTTATGGAGACCGATGGGTAGAGGCGACTTGCCTTTTTTTTTTTTTTTTTCCGTTTAAATGCTGAAGGGGCTCTGTCTCCGAGAGCCACTCCTGTATAGGGTTCTCCACGAAAAGCAGCATCAGATGTGGAAGACTTATTTAGGGGCTGCAGGATAACACCCGCAGGTATGCAGCCGAGTACAGTACTCCGGGGTGGAAAACAAGGACGGGACAAAGTGCTGTGAATTAATCTGTAATCCCGGCTAGCTCGTTTGAAAATAAATACACCCCCTGCTTGCCCGCCCCCCTCCTCCGGTTGCAAATAGTTCTCCAGTCCTAGGTGAAAGCTCTTGAACCTTGGTGAAATTATTCCGAAGGGAAATTGGGGGTGCGCTACGAGGTGCTGAACACACGCGAAAAGCGTCTTAAGCATTGACAGCTTCGATTCTTGCAGGAGATGCTGGTGACAACCAGTTTCCCTGTTGGTGTTTTGCAGGCTCTACATGGGCAGTTCTGGGAGGGGGCAATTTTTTTCGGGTTTTACAGAGGATTGCATAACTGCTCATGTTTATTTGAAAAGAAAAGGAGGAGCAAACCCAACCCCCAGCCTGAAATGAAACACACGATATATGTCTTTTACTGAGCCTGCACACTGTTTTCTTAACTAGCATCATTAAATATCATGTTTTAGATGGTTTGAAAGGGTTAGCATGATAACGTAACATTAAGGTTTGGGGTATTTTTTTCCTGTAGCGCTGTGAAAGCTTTGGGGAAAACCAGAGAGATACCTATACACTTACATAGTCTCAGAGTTAAAATAGCATGGTTTATCAAATCTGTATGACTTATTTTTAAAATGGTAGTGGCCATTTTTTCTTCCTTTACTGATGAGCCACTTCTTTATGTTTTTACAGGCCCTTGCAACCTTGCCTCTCCCCAGTCCAAAATAAAATGCTGTTTTGAATGCTTTTGTACATCTCTGGGTCACAGTCAGATGCTTTTAAATAGTCTATCATTTGTAACTGCTGAAGTGTATTATGTCCAGTATTAAATTATAGTACAGCGTAATGCTTAGACAGCATGCTATGCAACGATCAAATTGCAGATAAAGTTCACATAGGAATCTCCTACAGTGCTTGCACTTGACCCTTGTAAATCTAAGAAAAGATATTTATAAATGGAAATATACATCCAGCAAGTAGTTGTTTCTGTGTCCAATTTAATCTGTGGATTGACTGTAGTAAAAAATAATGTCTTTTAATTTAATTTTTAGTAGATATATTCATTCTAGTTTCTTTCTGTAGGCAGCTGTGTGATAGAAATTACTTTTGCTTCTTGTATCTTGAGCTTAATTTGAAAAAAAAAAGGATATTTTAAGGAGAAAGGGAGACAGTTATGTCAACTTATGTTAACATTACTGTATTCTTATTGTAGGTAGAAGCAATAATTGTACTTAGTATATCTCATAGTGTTTCAGAGAATAAGCCATACAATATCTAAACTTGCTAACTTTCTCTAGGATGATAAACTAGGATAAAAAATAAAATAATATCAGATATTTTTCTTGCTTATAACACTGATTATTTAAGTCTTCAGTGTGAGGATGTTACTGTATTCACAAGCCTCTATCTCTGTATTTATTTATATATTATTATATATATTTCATGTATGATAACAAGAACAGTCATTTTGTGGTGTAGTCAGTCACTCAGTGATGTCATATCCTTTCTATTTGTTCATGCCTACTGCTTGGACTCTTTTCAGCAAGCAACAAAATTTGGGTTTTTTCTCCCCTCAAACCCCATTTATATACTGTGCATTGTTGAAGTTAAATGCAGGTATACAATTTTCACCCCTACTGTTTCTCTGCCATGCTGTCATGACTACTATGGGCATAAGTGCTTTTAGGTGCCTCTGCTAGTTAGTTGAAATATTTTGCTTACTGTTTGTATTGCATAGTGTCTGGTAGCTGTGCTCAGGGACCTTAACTAATGGTTATGGTCCAGTATAACCATGGAATAAAAACTTGAGCCCACCCCACAAAATATTATGATCCAAAATACAGAATAAGCTATGCAAAAAAAGGAATCAGGTTAAGAAGGATACACTGGTACATGTGTGCATTATCCATCTGTGTACTTTCTCATTCTCATATGTTAGAGCAAAGGGAATTGTAGAACTAAGTATAAGACTTGCACCGTTCTCTGACAGCATTCTTGGGACATGTGAATGGCTTGGTTTTGGGGGATCTCCAAATGAATTTAACTTGACTAAATGCTTAAAGTAAAATATCTACATCAATCTAATATGAAAAATTTTATCTTCAGACTATTTAATTTTTACAATTTTTAAAATTTAAGATAATATTTTAAAATTTTGAAATGGAGTTTTCATTTCAAATTTCAAGTCTTCTATGGGGAAAATCACATTATTTTGCCTTCTCCCAGTGTTTTCTAACTTCTAGCTCTTTCTTCCTCTCATCCCCTTCATGTGTCAACCCCCCCCAAATACATAATAACAAATATACCTTCAGCTGTAAGAAATTTCTGAGTGAATGCATCACTCTGCCCATCCCAAATTGCCCGTACACAGAAGTACTGCAAGGATTTCCCATTTCAATATAGTCTGGTTATTGGAATACTTTGAAATAGTAGTGAAGATAACTGTACATTGAGAGGATATTATTAGTAAAATCCCCCTATATAAATATGGTTTTTAAGTACCCAGGGCCTGAGTACATGTGTTACAGGACAAGTATGTGTATCCTACTTAGGTTTTAGGACATCTTTCCCAGTGGGTGTTTATTTCAAGTGCTGACAGAGCAGAACAGACTGATTTTGTGCTACTCGTTTTTCTTAGCTTACAGTGGTATGTCCATCAAAACAGATGGGAAGTTTTTCTTTATTGTTAGTTGTTACATACAATGGGTGGGCAATTCACTTGGCTACTGCTAAGAAGGGTTCTTAACTGTGTCAGGATTCTGAGGCAGCTCTGAAGAAGCTTAGGCTTGTAGTCTTGCTAGTTGTCTTAAGGTTCCCTCTTCTTTTTCTTTTCCTCCTCTTCTTTCTCCTGCCTCATAGTATCCTGAGGTATGATAAGAGTTTACCTTGCCCTGTAGAGAAACCCAAGAGCTAGCAACCAAAAGTGTACAGACCAAAGTTACAATGCATTATGTAGCAGATGAAAAGAACAAAAATGAATCTGCAGCATAACTGTTCTAAATAATCTCTTGAAGTTAATTCTTGCCCAGTTTGGCTAATCTCATGATTAGCCAATATGCTAATGTGCCAGTGTTCATATATTGGAGCACTTGGCAAAACGAGCATAGAGAAGCTTGAAAAAAAAAATCAAGGATGTAACAGTTTTTGCTTGAATCTGAGGGTTGCAGTCCTAGTTCAAGGTCTTAAACAGTGTTTTATTGGATCAATACTAAGGAAATTCTTTTAATGGAAATGAAAATACTTAGAGGTCTTTTGCTCAGAAACTTGTTATTTCCTTGTTGTTTACTCTGTTCATTTTTAATTTGAAAACAAATATATTTCTGCCTGTCTCATCTGATTTCACTATTAGAAAGACTAGTACCCAAATGTTTCATCTTAGAGGAGCTCATAGGTGTGAAAGAACTTATCAATGATTTAGCAAAGGAAGTAGTTAATTCTTGTTTTGTACCAAGCTGTTGGTAGTTGAAAAAATTCTGTACTTAAAGGTTGGTTTATTTTCTTGGATTTAGACAAAACTGAGTAGCAGACTTTAGGAACATAAGGGATCTTTGGACAATCTAATCTGATTCATGCATTGGTTATTTTCAGTTAGTTATCTGGGGGCACTAACCTACACTGATAAAAGTCTGTCTTTCAAAGATGTTTGTTGAAATGTATCTTCTGTATTAAATGAAGTCTAATGTGGAGACATGAGGATGTGAAGTATTTGCAGCTATTCTTGGAAGTATCCTTTAGTATCTGGCATGGTTGATGGTCCTTCCTAAGGAAGTCATATTTCTAATTTGCACTGTCATACCCTGAATTTTCAGCTGTTGAGTTTTTTTGAGATCTTTGACAGCAAAGAGCCATTTAGTATGTGATAACCATTTAGTATGTGATTCAAATTGTCTACAAAGGTATTTGGATTCAAGTGACTTCTGTCACTTCAAGAATTCCACCAATGTAATTTGTAAAGTCTCTTATGGTAAAACATCTTGTTTCATGATCTTGGAGCTCTTACATCACCTCCAGTTCTTTGATCAGAGGTGATGCTTTCAAGTCTGTAAGTCTCT